CCCCCCATTCGCATCCCTTCTTCAAACGCCTCCTTTTTGGGGTCCCCATATTTTGCTAAGGGATGAAGAGGAGGGGCTGCTTTGGGCGCCTCTGAGGAAGGAAAGGAGGGCGAGACCCCAACCACACCTCTGTGGGGACACAGAGGGGTGGGGGGCCAGCATTCCTTTCCCCCCCCCACCCATCAACCCTCATCCCGAGGCTCAGAGCCCAGCGGTTCTGAATCACAGCCCCGCAGCTCAGCCAACAGCTGGCTGCCAGATGTGCGCCGCCGACTCCCAGAGGACAAAAGGAGGAAGAAATAGGAGGAAAAATGGGGTTTGCAATCCTCACAACCCACCCCAAAACCCAGCACCCATCACCCCATAGGATAAAAGAAGGAAGAAACTGGATAAGAAATGGGGCTTTAAATCCTCGCAACCCCCACCCAAAACCCAGCACCCATCACCCATCACTCCCAGCACCCCAAAGGATAAAAGGAGGAAGAAATAGGATGAAAAATGGGGTTTTCCATCCTCACAACCCATCCAAAACCCAAAACCCACACAACCCCCATCCAAAACCCAAAACCCATCACCCCCAACACCCATAGGATAAAAGGAGGAAGAAACAGGACCAAAAATGGGGTTTTCAATCCTCACAACCCACCCAAAACCCAGCACCCATCACCCCAACTCCCCATAGGATAAAAGGAGGAAGAAATAGGATGAAAAATGGGGCTTTAAATCCTCACAACCCATCCGAAACCCAAAACCCAGCACCCCCAACTCCCCATAGAATAAAAAAAGGAAGAAATAGGATGAAAAATGGGGTTTGCAATCTCGCAACCCCTACCCAAAACCCAGCACCCATCACCCCCAACACCCATAGGATAAAAGGAGGAAGAAATAGGACGAAAAATGGGGTTTTCAATCCTTGCAACCCAAAACCCATCACCCAGCACCCCAACTCCCCAAAGAATAAAAGAAGGAAGGAATAGGATAAAAAATGGGGTTTTCCATCCTCGCAACCCCCACCCAAAACCCAGCACCCATCACCCCATAGGATAAAAGGAAGAAGAAATAGGATGAAAAATGGGGTTTTAAATCATCACAACCCCCACCCAAAACCCAAAACTCATCACCCATCACCCTCTGTTCCCCATAGGACAAAAGGAGGAAGAAAC